GAGGCTTTCAAATCAATAAAGTTCGGGACTGTGCAATGCAGAATAAAGTGCTTTTATAGAATTGCACATTCCTACATGCTTATTAAAAGCCTTTCAATAACAACTGGTATAAAGCAGACTCAGGAGTCCCGTTGTTTTATTTGTATGCATCTAAAGTTGGAGTTTAGATAAAGGCTGAACTTTTTGGAATGGATGAGCGGGGCAGGGAGCATTACTTGTTGGTCATATGTACATACTAAATGTCCTGAACATAAGCTCTACAATCACTACCACCTTTGTTTTCTTGTTTATAAGACAAAAGCAACCATAGCACGGTGAGTAAGGGAACAAGCACTTCTACACCTTCTTGTGAATACTTTAAAAGTGTGTCTACAAACTAAATTCATCATCAATAAAAGTGCAATATATACATTAAAATGTATAATCCTAAAACAATGGTCTACCTATGGTACGGTATACAATGGGCTGGGACTTTTCTCTTTTGTTTGTGAGACCTTTAACTTGACAAATTGCACATTTTAAACGCTAACAATTTCTGACAAACTAACTTCTTTTCTGTATCCCTCTCATTTTACAGTCTGATCTAATCCTCTCTAGCTGTCGTCTTTTCCTTTCCCCTGTTCTTCTTGTTTTAGTCCACTCCCATTCCCCTCTTTCACTCCCTTTCTACGCCTCTCTTTCTCTCTTAAACCACTTCAGGCCTCAGTGCTCAGGAGGTCGCACAGCTGCAGGGGCCCATACCCAGGAACCGGCCCCTCTCATCCCTGCTCTCTCCTCCCTCTGTTGTCCGTCTCTCCCCTGATACACATCCGGGCTAGGACAGAATCATTAAAACTGGCTATGGTATGCTTTTCATTGGCTGAAGGGCTTGGGAAATGTGATAATGAGATGTTTTTTTGAGACAGCACTGCAGAATCACTGGGTTAAGGAGATGGTAGATTAGCGCTGTAAAAAGCAATGTTAAAGGAAATAGCTCGAATAGCCTGTATTCATTACCTTTATCCATTCTTATCTACTTTTTTTTTTGTTGCTTTAATCTGCTGTGCAGGTGAGAATGGGATTTGCAAGCTGAGCTCACCTTTGAGAAATCTTACAAGAATGTGGCTTTGGGTAAACTTGTTTTGACCCTGTGGCCATCTCTTCACCTACCATCCATCCTTCCATTGATTTCACTATCCCCCCCTCACCCCCCCCCCCCCCCCCCTCCCTCTCCGCCTCTTTCCCAAAGCAGCAAATAATCCCCTGCACCTGCAAAAGCTCCGCACACTGCAGACTGCCAAGAGTAGAGCGTGTGACCTTGCCTCCGTGACCACAGAGTCTGGGAAGAAAGAGAGGGAACATGTCGAGAGAGAAAGGGAGAGTTTGTCGATAGAGGAGGAGGATGAAAGGGCAAGAGAAAGGGAGGGACACAAAGAGAGAGAAGATTGTAGTTAGCGGAGATATCAGACACATTGAAAACACATTGTGAACCCTGGTTTGGTCGGGGGTCCAGCGCGCGGCTGGGAACCGGGCTGTCGGGCTATTTTTGTGTTTCTTTTCTCCCCAGTGATGTCATGCTACTTGTTTCCCAAGAACTGGGACAAGAGGGAGAAAACATGAGAATGTGCTGCAGCGCTCTCACTCGATCATCTACACAGTATGTCAACGCTTACAGTGTTAACATATCAACACATTCTTTAATTTGTTAACATTTAGGAAAATATCATTCAAAAAGTAGAGTGATATAAATATAGGCTATATAACTGGGGGCTAAAGAAATACTGGCCACTGTCTAGATCAGGGGTGTCAAACTCAAATACACAGTGGGCCAAAATAAAAATAAACGGTACTAGTCGAGGGCCGGACTGGTTCAATGTTTATTGCAAAACGTATTGAAATGAACTTATTGCACATATTAAACCTGGAACTAACAAAGCTTCAATTATTGCCTATAAAAACAACATTAACATTAAATAATCAGTTGCATTCATTTCTTATGGCTCTATCTGCAGCTTTTCCAGAGTCATTTCTTATGATTACATTTTCCCACAGGCCAACAACAGCTTCAAAAAAACTATTCCCCTCAAAGAGAAAACCAAACATGCCCTGCTGTCGTGAGAGAAAAAGTGCAGAAGGAAACATCTATTGAAACTCAGTGTGCTGCTCTGTGATGCTAGTTCAAGCCAGATACTTGGCATCTCATCTTGGGTGCAAGTTCATCAATGTTTGGGCTCAGGCTCTGAGCCGAGGAAACCCTCAGGATGGAGTGAAGGTGTGCGTGCAATATACCGGCGGGCCAGATCTAATAGTAATTAGAAATTATCCTGCGGGCCGAAATTAAATCCACCACAGGCCTGATTTGGCCCCCGGGCCTTGAGTTTGACACATGTGGTCTAGATTGTACGGTCCAAGTGGGGCCACTTAAACATCCTACAGAACAAAAAATAGAAATATATGCAACTATATACACTAGGAAACCTTTTTCTTCACGTTTCCCTCCTACATAATATACTCTTGTGCAATTTCTATTATCGTATTAATAGATGTATTATACTCCTGGAGAGCTGTAGCGTGAAGTAGCACAACATTCTATAATACTAATTTGTCCATGCCTCTTAAAACTGTCTGTGCTCCAGTTCAACTTTTCTTAAAAGTCTTTATGTTGACACCGGTAAATGACGTTAAACATCCAAGAAAGAGGCAATTTTTGTGCAAAACCTTAAGGGCATTTGGAGAGCCAATCACAGGGTAAAGTAAACAAATTGTAATTCATGATGGGGTCCTGAGCATAGAAAGAAGTTTGATGAAAATCAAGCCAGTAGTTATTCCGTAATCCTGTTGAGAGACAAACAGACATACCAAGCAGAACACATTCCCTCCTTGGTGGAGGTAATAAGAGATTGGGGGGGAGGGGGTGTTGTGAAACTGACCCGTAGTCTGATGTGGTCTGGTAGTGGGGCAGCCATTCTTTACAAAGAGTAGTTTTATTAGGATTTTGTCAATGAAAAGGACATTAAATAAAGTTGAATGCATTTAACAAGCACTTTGTGTGTCTGAAAAATGCTCACACCACAGGGCAGCTTGGAGTGAAACCTTTATCAGAGAATAAACACTTTGTTTTTCCTCTCCCCTAACTAGTTTCAGCAAAGCGATGAGGAGAGCGACTACGCGGGGTTAGCCTTTGTCTGAAATGCATGTGGACAGCTGTGGTGCCTCGGGCTCTTTAAGGTATGATTACTTCTCAGGGAGAGCAATTGAGCAACAGCATGGAGCGATTACTAATATTTTCTTTGTCCATTCCCCCCCTGTGAGTTTAATCGGCAGCACGTTATCTCATTCTCCTCCTCTCTCACACACACATGTGGACATCACAGAACCCATGTGTGTGTGCGCAACACATGCAGACACAAACAAGTAAACACTGGGAGAGGAGAAGAGCTGGGAGAGGAGAAGAGCTGGCAGAGTGCGCGCTGGCTCACGATGTGTCATGTGTGTTCAATTAGAGGGCAGATTAAAAAAGGAGATTTTTTTTCCACATCAAAGGCTTCACGCTGGGGGATTCCTCTCCATCTCTCTCCTTCTGCGAGTCCCTCCCTCCCTTCCTCTCTGTTTCATGAATAAATAATAAGGGGTAAACCTGGGAAAACAAACTGTTTGACCTTTGAACCCTTGTGTCAGGGTCAGAGTTTGCACCTGGACGACTTCCCACAGGAAAGCAGTTGTCTGTGTGCATGGGAGGGTTTCAGTGCATCATGTTTGTGTGCATCATCATTGGTTAATTTTGAGTTCCCAGCATGCCTTTGGACGCAGATTCCTTGAATTTTCTGCGGCCTCTTCTTGGTGTGCAGTCCTAAAAGTGTTACACCCTCCTGTTTTACTAATGTTGTTTTTGAGGTCTCAACAGATGGTGTTAACTATAAGTGTTATTCTACAGCTGCTGTTGGAAAACAACAGAGTAAACACTGCAATATTGTGAAATGAATGTGTGGAGGAACAGTGAGAATTATTCACATGGATAAGGAATGGAATAACATTATTTCATATTGTGTGACTTTCCTGAGGATGAATTTATCATTTTTTTAAAGAGGCACTACAATGCTTTTTGGCCTTTTCCCTTGACTTTAATGTGTTCTTTAGGTTTGCCTCTATTTGAGTCCTTTGTTTACTTCCGCAAAATAGCGACATCACTATGTTAAACTTGCGCTTCTATTGGCTAGTGCTCCAACACATTTAATATGATGGGCTAAAGGGCAGGACATCTCTAAGCAGTTGACCAATCACAACAGAGCAGGCCAGCTAACCAATCAGAGCAGACTTGGATCTGATTTCAGACAGATGTAAAAAAGAGGCAGTATGAGACAAATAAATCACTTTTTAAACATGAAAGCATGTAAACATGTCACAGTAGAGGCACAAAATACAAATATGAACCTGGAAATAAGCGTAAGGGCACCTTTAATATTTAAGAAATGTACGGACATGTTGAACTCAATGCTCTCTATGATGTGTCTGCTCGCTCCTTTTCTAACAGGCCTTTAATTGGTTGGTCTTTCTCCCTTTCTGACGCTCTCACTGACAGCTGTGCTGAAAGGGAAAACGCAGCACATTACCATCCCACGAAACAGATGTGAAATCTTGCCACACACATGCACTCGCTCTAAAATTCCTTCACTCTGGCATTTCTCATATTAAATCACATTATTCTTGATAATGAGAGCCTCTGAACCTCTTGGTGGTCACTCTAACGGCCCGTCCACACAGCAGCTTTAGACGATTCTTCCACCGCTTCCAACGCTTCTCTGCCCATTGACTTTGAATGGGGATGACGTCACTTTTCCTCGCTTGTCGCCGAACTGTATTGTGGGGGAGCGAAGCGAAGATTTCCAGGATGTTCAGGATTCAAAAGTTGAGCAATGTTCAACTTTTGAAGCTGAGCTGGAAGCGTCAGCCAATCAAACCCGTTTATGCAAATCTGACAGTAGAAGCTCTAGCCAATCAAACCGCGTGTAAGCAGGGAGAGCCAGACCGCAGTTCATTTCCTCATATTCCAAACGAGAAATTACGGTAGCAAATCACCCGGTTCTTTACGACCAGACTATTTACCGGGATACAAACCGGAGGAACCAGGCATGGAGGGAGGTGCCAGAGACAGTGGGTGAAACTGGTAGGTTTTCGCCTGTTTGGGGAGTTTATATATATATATATTGCTCGCATAAAATCCCCGTTTTTTTTTGCTTTGTATGTCGGGGGCGGGAGATTCATGTGATTGGTTATTGGTCGTGTTGCTCGCAAAAAATCCCCAAGCTGTCAGACACGCCCAGCTCCAAGATTTTCAAGATTTGTTCAGCTGCTGTGTGGACGGGCCGTAAAAGGATTGGCAGCTAAACAAAATCTTCTTTGGTTGTTTTTTTCCTCTCCTTCCTTGACTAGTCAGCCAGGCTGTGCCATTGTAACTGAGGAAACGGCTCATTAGCTATTCAGAGCAGAGGATACATATGGGAGGACTGGGAGTACTGAAGCCAATTGGATGGAGAAGAGGACAAGGAGAAAGAGAGGAGAAGTCCAGATTCCAGCAGCTCAGCTCTCCGCCAACGGACGTGTCCAGATGGCCTGGAGAGAGAGGGCCTTTGACTGAGGCACAAAGACACACTTGTGAACGACAACATCGGACTCTCACAAATGTATGGACGCACACAGCTGTGAAGTGTATTGTTCGTCTTAGCTCGGCCGTTAGCTCCTAACGTTGGAGGAATGTTCGACTGTCCGCCTCTCGCGCCCTTGAGACATGATGTCACTCCGACAAACGCCATCTTTATCAAAGAGGAACAGCTTTTTATGTGGTTAGGGCCAAACAATGAAAAGAGAGAAAGGGCAAGGGGGGACAACGCTAGGAGGAGACATAAATGAAGGGCCGGATATTCTCTTGATAAATTGAAATCCGGTTTGATGGCAGTCGTGACAACCCATTAAAGCCGTGTGTAAAAGTCCCATTTCCCCCTGCCACAATAAAAGAGGGGAGTACAGAGGGTGAGCCTGCTATAAATGTGTCAGAGTGTTAGCACACTATAACTTTACTGCGGATTGATCACACAGAATAATTACTGTAAACGACTGTGCTGAGGAATGGTGGAGAGGGGAGGGGATACAAACAGATGGATAATAAAGAAAGAGAGGGGATAAAGCCAGTTAGGCAAAGATCTAATACATACCTTTAGATATTCCCAAAGTGGAAACTGCACCAGCGAGAACGGGATCTGAAAAACAAAGAGACAAGAGATTTAATTGGAGTTGTAACCCTGTAGTGTGTTGTTTAGGTTTGTGTGCATGTAACGCCTCGATTAGATTAGATTATTGTTGTACTTCCGTAACATTACGACAACACTATGTAACATTCAAGCTATTATTGGCTAGCACTCCAACACAATGTATGTGATAAGGGTAAGGGGAGGGACATCTCTAAGTGGTTGACCAATCACAATGGAGCTGGTCAGCTTACCAATCAGAGCGGACTGGGCTCTGGTTTCAGACAGAGGGTGAAAAGAGGTGCTGCAACACAGGCAGTATGAGAAAAAGAAAGAGCTTTTTGAACATTAAAGCATGGAGACATCAGTAGAGGCACAAAATACACATGAACCTGAAAGAGAGCATTCTAACTTAAGGCCCCTTAAAGGTTCATGTTTCATCTTTAACCTCCAATCTCCTGCACTTGTCATTCCTGACACCTTTCTCTGTTTTCTCTCTTTCTCGTCTGACTGCTCCCTTGTTCCTTCTCACTGCTGATGATTAATGCATGAGACGGGCTGTGGTCTGGCAGTTCTCAATGGAGAGACGGATGGATGGATGGATGGCCAGATAGATGGAGCAAAGTTGGAGGAATAGAGGCATGGAGGGAGCAAACTAAAGTGATGGTTGGAGCCAGAGTTTGGCCATTGAAAACACAAAATCAGCTCAGGCAGGAAGACACAGCGGGGGAAATGTGCCAGCATTACCATGACAAGGATCAAACACAAACACAGAGAGAGGGTGACACACACACACACACACACACACACACACACACACACACACAACACACACACACACACACACACACACACACACACACACACACACACACACACACACACACACACACACACACACACACACACACACACACACACACCACACACACACACACACACACCACACACACACACACACACACACACACACACACACACACACACACACACACACACACACACACACACACACACACACACACACACACACACACACACACACACACACACACACACACACACACACACACACACACACACACACACACACACACACACACACACACACACACACACACACACACACACACACACACACACACACACACACACACACACACACACACACACACCTTGCACTGCAGGAATGGGGCAGAGCGGGACAGGAAGGAAGAGAGGGGAAGAAAAACAAAAACCAAAGAGACAAATAAATAAAAGTGACACTGAGTTGTGTCATCAGTCTTTGATCACAGTAACAAGAGGATCATTCATCTATCTGCTCCGCCTCCTCCAACATGTTCCATCAGACTACGTCGGTGTAAGCTGAACTGATACAACTCAGAGTCAGCCGAAGAAAGAAAACAATACATGAGCTGTGTTTACGACTCTTAACGAGCTTAATAAGCGGCTCATATAAACACTCTGAAGTAACCTAACGGAATGTGCTTCATCTGCCCTTCGAGAGAACATAACGTTTTCAAAATCATTGAAACAGTGTGCGTGTCTAACCTTGCAGAGGTGTCGTCTGATTAAATTGATGAGCAATTTGTAGTTCAGGGCAGGCTGGAGGCACACAAACACTTTAAACGTGTATGCACCTGAAGCGTAAAGCAGATCGTAACTTTCTGTTTGTTTATCTGAGTTAAGACATGTAATATACAAATCACTGTTAGTTAATCACTGCAGTGTTATTTTTTCCAGTGCTGAAACGCTTTCTGCTCGTCTCACATCAACACCTACCAATGCAATGCTTTCACCTGATGTTGAAAGTGATGGAAGGAGATGACAGATGTAATACATCTCTAAGCTGAGTGAGCAATGAGAGACAGACAGAGAAGTGGTGAAGAAATGGAAATGGACAAGTATTTCCATCTGTATTTCTTGTTATCGTCTTGAACCAAAGTATCATCCCAATCAAAAACGAACCTGAAGCATTTTTAGGCCCCGGCCACACGAGGACGATAACGGTCGTTATCGCCCCGCCTCTCCCCACCTCTGCTGCTCACCCCCGCGTCAAAGTAAACTGCACACTGAATTCAGATTATTTATCTTTCTCTCGATATGGACCTAAACGCGAGTGAAGTCTAATCTGACAGGACGGAGACACGTAGCTCTGCTCACCTGCAGCTCCTCCCGCTGTGATGCGGCGGTGAACGGAGAAAAACACACACTTCAAGTCAGATCATCACCCTTAGCTATTTTAATTACCTCTCAAACTACCTAAACTAGTTATAAATATGTTTATTTTTACTGTTGGCCTGGTCACTCATTACTGGATCAGCTGCTGCATGAGACAGACACTGAAGCTGTCAGAAGAGAGGGAGGAAAAAGAGAGGCTCCGTGTATTTTATTATATTATATAGTCGTTATTCATTTGTTTTAAAGTTCAATAAATAACAAAGAAGACCTTTGACCGGCACTTATATAATTTTGTCCAAAATATTTAAACTTTAATACACGTTGACTGGCGCAAAACTCTGCCGGTTCCCTCGGCCCCCACCGCGGAGAATAAACAGAAGGGCAACCATGACAACCATGCTTCTTCACTGCTTTTGTGGAGGACGTTACAGCGCCACGTACAGGCTCCTGCATATGTACTGCAGCTTCTCCAGCGGTTGGAGCTAAACGGAGCTGTCTCGTGTGGACAGACACTATCCGGTGAATATTGCGTGTGGATGGAAGCTTTTTTGCGATTGCGTTTGCGTTAATCCTATGCGTTTAGCCGTTTTCGTCCTCGTGTGGCCGGGGCCTTATTTTCTGTCAAGGTGAGAAATGTGTGCAATAGGCGCTTTCACACCGGAGTACTTTTCCAATTTAGTTCCGATAGTTCCTGGGATTTTGCGCTCACACCAAAAAGAGAACTTTTACCCCCTTTTTAGTGCCTGCTAGAGAGGTGGTACTTTCCTGGGGAGAAAAGAGTTCCAATTTCTGATTGGCTGGGCGAATTGCAAACCACGCCCTGTAAAACTGAAAAGTTTTGTGAAGCCGCCATTGTATTTGCTGGCATTAGCATTAGCATTAGCCCAGCGCACCAACGGAGAGAGGCTAACTTTTGGCAACACAACAAAAAAAAGCTGCTGGGAGTCCCAGCAGCTTCTACTGAAGCCAGTCCCCAACTCCGGGGACTTCGGGTGGCAGTATTCGCCGTGAAGTTGTTTGGCCTGCCAGTTAACCCGAAGCAGAAGAAGAAGAAGTGACGTCAGCGGCTTCATTTGCGTAGTCTTCCCTCAGGGAACTTATTCCGGTGTGAACACGATCGGCTCTTAGTTCCATGGGGATACTAAGGCTGGAGCCACACGAGGACGATAACGCAAACGGACCGCAATCGTTATCAAAAAAGTCTTCCGTCCACACGCAACAGGCACCAGAAACGTGTCCGTTCACACGAGACCGCTCGAAAGCACTGGAGACACTGTAGTACATATGCCAGGCCTGTAAGTGGCGCTGTAGTCAATTTCAAAACAACTTCAATCCTTGTGTCACTGCTCTGACTTGCTAAAACAAACAAGCAAGCTTTCTGAAAACAGCCCAAGGGAGCAAGCTTTTTTTTTTTGTTGCTTCTGCTATTGTTTTTGATGTGGGGTAACCCTGGAGATAGACTAACTAAACAAAGGAGTCCAATGGAGGCGTTTCAGGCAGAGGGCGAGAGTGTGCGGGAGAGAAACTCAGTACAGGCAAGGGGACACCCCAGAAAGCATAATACGGCCTTTAAAGAATTTGCCTGATAATAAATGTTCGGCAATCTACAGGTTGTATAATAAACCTTTAAAAAAGGTAGAAAGACAAACCCTCACACATCATACAAGAAGTGCATACAGGAATGATCATCACAGTGTCTGATCCAGAATCAGACATTGTGGGAACTGAGATGTTACATCTGCGTTCAACTCCTCAGGCAAAACAGATAATCTCTGCGCAATATCAGAGATAATAAAATCTTTAAGATTAATGTGTGACGGTTATTATTCAATTAGATCGTTGTGCAAATGCCTTAGGTGGAATAACCAGACCACAAACTCTGCCGCTGAGAGAAGATTCAAAATAATCACTGTGTTTCTCAACCGAGGGACAGATAATAATCAGTACAAATAAATAACAAAAAAAACATCTGTATCAGTTCCAAGTTTACTTATCTAACATTTAATGAAACTTTAATGAAGTTTTCACTTTAAGTGTAGCCTCTCAGATGACACACGGGGAACCAGGGACTGCATATCACTCCATCAGAAACATCTCAGACTAACAGTATTTCATCACAATGGAAATTCATTTAAATGGACACGTTTAAATGGACTGTATGTTATTTTGAAAATATAAAAGTTAAAACAGAAAAAGATCAAAAAAGTATATTGTTAAAATGTGGCTAGAAATCGTATATAATGTCAAATGATGACAGATTCTGGCAAACAAGCACCATTCAAATGCGTGAGGATACAATGTTTCAGGCGACCAGAAAAAAATCAAGTTTCTCTAGATTTGAAAATTGTAAGAATGATTTTGTACGTGTTTGCTTTGTTGACTCAAAAGCATATACTAGTTATAATACTATATAATAGATTTAGTCGTTTTTAGAGATTGGAATGCTTTTAAATGTTAGTGCGTACAGCAGTAGTTGCTAATCAAATATGTCAAAGCTTCACACTGAATGGCTAGGGACCTCTACATAAGTTACTTTACTTTGAAATAAATGTTATTTGTACCATTATTTTCCTTTTTCGTGTGTCTGTGTTTATTATACCTTACTTATTTGAAACCAATGTTTAGACCGATTAAATAAATGTTTTGAAAGTATTTGGTTAGTATGCTTGGAGTTAGTGTTTCTTACCTTATAATATTTCTGTATAATACATGAACTCCTTTCACTTTTAGACGTGTTGGTAAAATATAGTGCCAATGCTTTCCGTTTTAGTGTCTGGGCCCCTATTCCTATGTTTTGGACAGCTTATCGGGATGTCCCATTTCACATATCT